TTAGGTACTACGAAAGACGAAATACATTTAACTGAAAAAACTGGAATATATAAAACAGAATGTGAAAGTATTTACATTGGGCAGACAAAACGTAATTTAAAATACCGTTTATATGAGCATAAGGGATATGTAAGAAATAAAAAAACTGAAAATTCATCCATAGCAGAACATGTACAGGAAACACAACATTATAGAAAAAAAATTTAATATTAGCTCAACCTAAAAGTGTAATAGGTAATAATATTCGTGAATGGTTAGAAATAATAAAACATAAAAAAAAGATCATGTAGTATTAAATAGAAATGAAGGTTTGGCGAATATTTCTGCAAGAATGTGGATTGATCTCCTTTGAATGGTTTAGCATGAATGTATGAAAAATAACATACAGGTCAATGACCTACTAACAAGCTATAAATACTTTGGCAGTTGTCTTGTATTTCTCTCCTGAGGATGACTTTTGTAACGTCGAAACATGTAGAGTCATCAACTTTTTGAAGGCCATAGATAGGCCTAAATAAAATGTTTTTAATTGTGTACCAGTTTAACGTTGAATATTATTTATGATTTTAACTTTATACACAAGTGCCAAAATACTATAATCATATAAACGTTGTTGCAAGAGTGATGAGAACAACCACAAAACCATTGAAATATATAAAAAAAAACTACGACAGTGTGTTCATGTTATGATTACATGTATAATTACATAATTTCACCCACAGGAAATACACTTTGTGACACAATAAAGTTTTCTTACACAAGCATTTCATACTAACAATGTCACAAGACTGTAGTGCTGAAAATGGGCCAGTACTGTCCAGTACACAGTACCAGTAGTTGATTAGTTTTTATTTCTGGGATTTAAGTACCAGCAATTTTTCCAAGCAAGCGTAGCGACTTTTTCACTGTCATCATTATGGGAGTTCATGTGAAGGAAATAAATGAAGAAACTACGTTAAGTTTTTATTAATTAATAATAAGTAACATTCAATGGTTTCTATTGAATTTTATGTATCTAAACATGTATCGTTGTTTATAATATAACAAGAACATAATAGACAAACTTCATCAACAATTCAACAGTGAAAACGTTATTTATTAGGCTATTTAAAAATCAATAAAACTTAGCAAACATTTGGATCCATCAAACTTCATAAAATTACTCCTACAGGCACACAATTAAAAAAAATTCAGTACCGACAAAGTTTTTTGTTGTTTTTTTTTTTGTCACTTTGAGCACTGCACAAGAACGTGATGAAAGGCGTCTCTATATGGATTGCTAAGAATGGCGAACGTTTATATACTCGGTGGTTCTCTTGGCAAAATGTGTTCACTTGTATGGACCAGTTCTGAGGATTTTAGTTTTTATAACTCGTTGAGATAATGAGAAAACCAGTTTTTTGAAAATCGGAAATTTAACGGTAGATTCTATTACTTTAGTTACATATCATGTTATTTAATATTCTAATTTTGGATTTGTTTGTTTGTTCGTAGTTAAGCAAAAAATTACATAAAGGGCTATCTGTGCTCTTCCCACCACGGGTATCGAAACCAGATTTCTAGTGTTGTAAGTCCGCAGACATACCGCTGTGCCATTGGGAGCATTTTGAATTGGAACTGATTTTTAATTTAAGAAAGAAAATGTCAGTTCTTAACAACTGTTTATGGAGGTCGTTGCTCATAGTAACAGCTCACATGTCTCATAGCTCAACGATAATTTGTTCAAGCCCAAATAATTATCTTCTGTGTGTTACCTTATAGACGTATATTTAGATTAATAGGTGGTTCATAAAGGGTTCATCGCTTCCAGAATACAGAATATACTTGCTAATAATTCCTCAACCAAATATTATTTCACTATTCTGAGGATTCATTAACTTCCAACTAGCATACACAACATGCATATCTATCTCCAAACATGATTTTGTTTTTCAGCGTTTTAGAAGATTTAGAACTATATCTAAATTCACTGTCAGTTATCGCTGCTCTATGAGAATTTATCTTTCAGGTTCGTTTTTTTTATCGTTTGATGGATTTAATAAGAAAGCCTATTTTGATTATAAACTTTTTATGGCTAGTCACTTGTTAAGATAGCGTATGTCAAATCATAGGCACATCTTGCATCAGTGCGCTACATTATCGGTTCGAGGCTTTTTTTTTTGTTTGTTTGATGAATTTACTTTTCACGGATTATGTATTTCGGCATTATACCTATAGTGGAATCGAACCTGGGTCGTACTGGTAGTAGAACAAAACTAAATATATTATTGTAACAATCTTCCAGTCATTAGTAAAATTCGCAAGTGAAGCTGAATTAAGTTTTCTGTTTTCATGAGAAGGACCAGTTTATGCAGTATATAAATAAATAATTCAAGGTGTAGCAAACGTCATGCACCATAATAAGTCTTCTACGGTCGTTGGAAATGTGAACCCCTGATATCACGACACATGGCACAACAGAAAACATCCATATTGCATCGTTAATGACATCCTAACCATTTACTGTAACGAAATAAGTTAGTGAAACGCAAATATTATTTAGAAAAATTCTAGTATGGAGGAACTTGGGATAGACATGGTGGTGCGTCACATATGCATCACCCTAAATAAGATGAATGAATAATTTATTTTCATAAAAAAGGCCCGTTTTTGCCAACACTCACGCATACAAAAAATGTACAAAAATGCAATGTTAAGTATACATAAATTATTATTGTTATTTGGTTCTTTTTCATCATAAGTCCTGCTAACAAATTATTTCAGTAAATCTAAGCTATATACATTGCTTTGTGACATACATTACTATTGGTGAGAAAATTCTGAGCACCCTGAAATCACCGTGTTTAAATATAAAACGCTACAGTAATAAGTACAGACAGTTGAGTAAGCTATATTAAAACGATTTTGAATATGCAAGTCACGTGGCAACTTCAGCCAATATAAAGTAACGGTAGAACGGAATACATTAGAACTACATATTAATATTGCTTGGCGTAACGAAGGTAGTGTGATATCACCGAAAACTGATCGATTTTGGGAACGGTATGTAACAATCCTTTCTGACGCCAAATAGTAATGCACTTAGATCATAAAGATGTGTTCAGATCGGGAATTTAGAACTTCCGAGACGTGGATATTCCTTGTACTTAATGGCATTTGAAAACAAATTAATATGGATCAACTTGGGGAAAGATGGACCATGCAAACGAAACCTACAATAACTTGTACTTCGGCCGTTTTAAGCAACGTGTAACGTCTTGTAACAAGCATATTAGTAGCAGTTGGAGAATGAAACGGATATTCATGATATTCCCTACGAAGATATATCGGTCAAGTCGCCAATTGATATCTATGCGATATAAATTTTGAAATAAGCTTTGGAAAACCATCGTCCTCGTTCACTAGTTGGATTTCTTTGGACGTTACAGCCTTAAAATGGAGTCTCTTGCTATATAATATACACTGCTGGGCTATTGTCAAGATGCACGTCTGAGATATAGCACGATCGGACGGGTCGAAAATTATTGTAATGAAGTGGTAAGGCTCCAAAATTGTTTTAATATAACGTGCTCAATATCTGTAAAATAATTAAAAATATACATATATAGCTGTAAAGGATCTAAGTATTACGGAAAAAGCATTTACTTAAAGCAACTTAATTACAATACATAAAATAAACAGAAAACACAAACCCAATGCTAACTGTTCAGCCATAGGGCTTCTAGGAATCTGAGCAAATTTGATCATGTTTTCATCATTTTAAGTTTCTTTCCAAGTTATATTTTTTTAGCTATACTGTAGCTACCATATTCATGTTTAGCATCTATAACAATACCTGTTTACATCCTTGTAATACAGATTTGCTACTAAGTTACAATCAAACAAATTAAATTAAAGACGTCTTGAAGAAATTTCACTGAATTTATTGCATCGATAAATCAAAATGATGCAATGATCAAACGTGTTTGTTTTCCATGTACAAAGATACAATCATGAAAAATGAGAATACGTATTTTTATCAATAGGCTTCACAATTCATCTAACCATATATAATAGTACAAAACTTTTGGACATGAATACGACACTGCACTTATCTTCATTTCGTGTCATTGACTACAGTTGGCCACTCCTAAAAATTCTGCTTATACACCAGATACACAGCAGAATAAGTCTTATTTGTAATTACAAGTGGTGACTTCCTTTCTTTAACCCTAGATTGACAATAAGGTATGGATCTCATCAATACATCAGGAATGCAATTAATTCCATTAATTACTGATAAAATGAAAGAACTTTGTATAACGCTAGGCTTAACTTTGTATTTTGTTTTAATTATTGTTGGTTTAAAAAATTCCGTAATGAGAGTGGCGTATAAACCTAAGTAATAACTTTTAAAGACTAAAGTTGTTGGGATACTGTAGCTGTTGGATGACAAGTCTAGGGTTTTCCACTTATCAAGACAGCCCATGAACGTGTATTCCTTAATGAGTGTACAACAGTACCATAGATAGAGAATACAAAAGAAAACTACCTTAGCCGTAGTTGCAGCACTAAAACAATCAGGATTAGTTGAAGCCCATGTGTGAGTTTATACTGTGTGATATCACAACAACAACACTGAAGTGAGAGAATGGAGTGAGCCATGAACACTTTGTAAAGCAGTGCCAGTGTTAGATGATTTTACTTGTTATTCTCAATATGTGATACAAGCATGCCTGAGAAAAATTGACTGAGCATACATATTCAAATTGAGTTGTACTAAACCCTGTACGTATATATATACGGAATAAAAATCATCCAGCCAAACATAACTACTGGGAGAATATTTGTTAATTAGTCTGTTAATGAAAGTTCACTTTGGATGAGTGAGACTCACAGTAAAGCCCTCTGTATGGGCCTAACTGTAAAACGCTCTGGGATTAGTTCGTTTCTTGGATTTCGCGCAAAGCTACACGAGTATTATCAGCGCTGGCCGTCTCTAATTTCGAAGTGAAAGACTAGAAAGAAGGCAACTCTTGATAGATTGAATATTGGGATTTGACCGTTACTCTTATAACTCGTCCACGCCTCAAAGCGAGGATTGCGTGGATGTGCCTTTAACTGAGGACTGCGATTTCTTTTTGTTGTAGTTGTTTTCGTTTTTGCTGTAACGAGCCGTGAACCACAGAACCTCATCTCTACAGTCAGGCACGCTAACCACTAGACTGCGCTTAGCCTTGTGGGACTAGCTAGTAAAACAGTGGTTGATAAAATTAAGCAAGTAAGATAGGCAACATACCTAATTAATCATGAAGTTCTTCTTCAGGAAACAAGGTTAATTTTAAACACCTTTGTTTTATTAATGTTTTAACGATTACTTTTGGCATTTTTTGAAATTTTAAAGTTATATAAAACTGGCGGATTTACATAAATAATGTCTGTTTGTTGTTAAGCACAAAAATGAGCAATTTTAGTGGAATAAGCCCTCAGACGTGCCGCTGAGCCACTCGGGGGGGGGGGCATAAATAATTAACGCTTTGTATACAAATAAAGTATATATAGCACAACATTCAAAACATCTTCAGTAAAATAAAAATCAATACTAGACACTATATACTAGGTTTTCATAAAACTTGTAGTTGTGGATTTGGTAACTTGCTAGATTGCTGAATGTTTCATCTTAATTCTGTATTTCACAGAGCGAAGATTTTGATCTTTCAGAAGTAAGAAACGACACTGATTCCAAAAACAGAAAAGGGAATCAATTTGAATGCTTTTGAGATAAAATTTGTTTATGGGAAACGTTGGCGGTATTTGTTTAATGGTGATCAGGTAATTTTTTATTTATTTTTTAGTTTTAAGTAACTGATAAATGTATTTATTCTTTTGTATTCAAATAACATGTATCATATGTTACATTAATATTTACAAAATCTGCTATTTTTGAATATATTCCGTTTCGTCAACATTTGTGTTTAATGTATCTTGTGTTTAATAGAGTGAAAACTTTTTTTGTACCTCACAAAAAAAATGTAACTGTGCGTGATGGCAGGAGACTGAGACGGCAGGCCGAGGGCTATCTGCGCTAGCCGTCCCTAATTTAGCAGTGTAAGACTAGAGGGAAGGCAGTTAACCATCACCACCCACCGCTCACTCTTGGGCTACTTTTTTTACCAATGAATAGTGGGATTGACCGTCACCTTATAACGCTCCCACGGCTAAAAGGGGCGAGCATGTTTGGTGTGACGAGGATTCGAACTCGCGACCCTCAGATTGCGAGTCGAGCGCCCTAACCACCTGGCCATGCCGGGCAGCCTTTTGTATAGCTTTGTGCTTAATAACAAACAATAACAATTTCCCCCTTGTAGCTTTGCGCGAAATCCATAGCAAACAATACAAAGGGCTATCTGTGCTCTACTCATCACGGGTATCGAAACCCGGTTTCTAGTGGTGTAAGTCCGCAGACATACCACGAGGGAAGTGTTAGATCTTATTTCTTAATACGCAAGTAATTCATAGACAGTACTTTATAGCATCTTTGCTGAATTCCTTTCTATACACAAAATTATTTTCTATACAAGTTATATTTTTAAAATCATATCAGCAAAAAGGTTATGCAAACACTTTTAAAACATTTATTAAGCCCATTTGATTAAAGAACAAATTCAGAAAATAGGCCGATAACTTAATCACTTAAGCCTTAATATGTCATGTTGACAAGGTTTTGAATTAAAAGCGTATGACGTTAAGTTGTTTTATTTTCTGTGTCTGTGGTTAAAAACAAAGTTGATTAATGCAATTGCTAAATATTATTTATGAAGCGAAGGAAAAAAAAACAGTAATGAAGTCTTAAAAAGGGAATAATTGCAATACATTTAAGTTAAAGATCTTCAAGGTAAATCAAATTATAATTATAAAACCATAAACTAATTATATATTATGCTTTAATGCGAAATTCTTAATGTGCTTGTTCGTTTTGTTGTTGTTGTTTCTTTTTACGGTCCATCATTTCAGAGCTTGGTCGCTTTTGTATTGTTAGACTTCTAGAACGTTTCAATATTCTACACAAATCTCCAAATACTTTGTTTGCGTGGCGTTACCTGCTTATAAGTACTAGAAAGTCATGTCAGGGATCGCATTATAATTTTTCAACGAATTAGAAAGTAGAACTGTCCTGTCATAATTTCAAAACAATATATATTAAAGTAAGTATGATAAAAAATTTCATAAATTAGTTTTTTTATTGGCTAACATTTATTCAAACTTGATAACGAAGTCTCTTTTTTATGGTTTCGTAGTCTTGTAATTCAGTCATTATGGAAAAATCTGTGATCACATGAAGCTATTGTTTGGGTGTACAAATTATTTTATTTGCATTTTAAGAAACACCAGTCTTCCTGCCATACAATAATTGTAAAATTACATATCACAGTAGCAGGCATAGTTATTGAAGATATTCAGTAACAGATTTTAAAAACAATTATTTGCTGTTATTTCCTAAAACGAGTTCAAGTAATGTTTGTACATATGCTCGGTAATTTCCTTTAGAGATTTAATTGTGAGACTTACAGAAAATTATGTCATAAATTATAATAATTGGACTTAAAAGTCGCGTTTTACTCAGTTTGTTGTGACACTGTTCGCTATAACTACTTTAAAATACAAAGAACAAGTTATTCAAATTAATATCATAGTATTAATACTATTTGTGAACAAATAGTATTAATTTTGAGTAGTCTTTTTCTTCAGGGATGGGACTATAGTAAAGTTTTCACATAACTTTCAACATACCATGAACCATTTATCTTTGGTATTCAGCTAATCCTGAAATGGTTCTAAAGTTCAGTATCAACCTGAATAACAGTGATGTGACATTAATGGAATGAATTAAGTACACTTGTACTTAAAAATAGTCACACTTGTCTAGTGTATGTGATATATATTTAAAATCTGCTGACTTTACGAATTCTATAAGGACTGTTGTGGCTGAGCATACGCTGAGACTAATATTTAATTTTTCCTAAGCACAACTTGAAATTTAAGACACTCAAGCTTTAAAATGGAATTCTCTCTTTGATTATACTTTGCTTTATTGAAATGTGTTGTCTTTCCGTTGACACATTTTTGCTGGATAAGCTGTGGTTAACTATGATCGCTCATTTCCTCGGTTTTCCAATACTACTACAAGAAATTGTGTGAACAACACAGTTCGCTGTATATGGTGAAGTTGAGATTCCATAGTTACTATGTAGTCATCAGTGTCGTTATTAATCTAGAAACTGATATACCAAGTAAACATTATGATATCAGCTACTCAGGTAACAACAACTCCCGAATCTTAACATCGTTGTATAACTAAATCTGTAAAAGACAAAAAAAAAAACTTACACCTCCTTTTGTTTATATCTGATAAAATTGTTTGTTGTTTGAGCATTTGTGACATGAGTTACAAACACGTTTCTATAACAAAACCACAAACCTACTACCAGGTATACTGAATGCTAGCTAATTAAAACTACTATGTACAATAAGGGGCTCCGGGGATCAGTTTGAAAGAATTGTATACAAGCGTTGAAAATAACCACAACACTCATTCATAGGCAGTGCACAGGGCGTACGAACACTAGACAGCATAGCTAAAACGGAGCACCCTCATTTTGAATGGTTTCGTCATTTGGATACAGCCTACGAAAAGCATTGCTCTAAGAAAAACTCTACGTTTAAAAAAACAGAGAGAGCGAGATAAAAAAGGCTCGAGTTTTGACGCAGTTCTTCTTTTTAAACGCAAAAGGATATTGCATAAACTAGAACCGAAAGAATGTGAAATCATATTAAAAACACGACTTGCTCTACTTTGACGAAAAAAAACCTAAACAACTGTTTGTAGTGATGAAAGAAAAACAAAAATAGTAGATGTCAGCGTCTGTGGGAAAGAGGAAGGAAAGCGCAACAATAATAATTTGTTTTCTAAGTGAACGGTACCCGTTGTTTTTTGCTCCTTGAAGTATGGGGCATTGTTGTTTTTTTTTGTTTTTTTTGAAGAGCCACTTGTTTGCCTCTTGGTCAAAAACTTTGGCCACAAGCGGAAAAACGTTTTGAACACATATCCTGTGTTTGTCAGTGACGGCAAAATTCACGTCGCCTTTCCTTTATGAATTTCAATAATCTTATCTTGGTCTACATACTGGAAGATATGGGGTGCATCTAAGAGAATTCCTATCGTTCCCGCCAT